CTAGCGCCAAAATGTGCGTATTGACTTCTGCTTCTTGCTTTTGCTATGTTCATCGCCTGTATAAGGTGAAGAGGCCCGGCAGGATCTGTGGTCGCTACAGCTGCTGCTGACCAGGGTTGTGTAAGGGGCAGCGAAGGAGGTGCCAAAGCAGGGTTGATTCGTCTGTATGAAACATGCAGCTGCTGAGGGAAGTTCTGTGGGGAATGACTAGAAGTTCACATGGAAACTACTTTCCTGTAACAACCTTTAATATCTGAAGCTTCAGCAGGCCTGTGTCAAACCTCTTGCAAATTTAAATGTCGTTGCTAGTATTTTGGAGATGGTAGCTGAATTTCATACCACAGACTTTAACCCAGTAGAAGACAAGCTGACCTGAGTTCTCATGTTGTCCAAGACAGTAACAGCATTCTTCAGAAACAGTTTGCTGCTATGTTCTTTGAGTAGAAATCTGTTGTGCTCTCATTTCTTCTATAGGGGAATACAGGCCTCTTACTTTTTTTCCAAGTTTCAAAAGCGTTTTGAAACTAGAGCCTTCAGAATGTGTTGGAGATTTCAAGATCTGCATTCTCTTATTGTTGTTTGTACTGAAGCCAGAGCGGCCATAAACCTATTTCAAAGAAATTAAAAACTACATTGAGTTTTCTCTTCAAGCACTAGGCTTTGGAGCTGGTTGTGTTGAAATATATTATTCTTACTACTTTGTGTAATTTAGTGCTTTGTGTACTTACTGCTGTGAGTAAAAATTGCCAATCTGATAAATGGCTTCTCTCATCAGAGAAGACTGAACTTTCTTAGCTCGTTTTCTGTTAATGTGTGTTCTTCCTATCAGGGCAAAGAAGCCTTCTTTCATGAAAATGGAAACACACAGAACAACTGCTTATGGCTGAAATTTGTCTGTATACTCTACTGAAGAGCTAAAAGTAAATAACTTCATTAAATTTTTTTTGTTTACAAACAGAAAAACAAGCTAAGTTTACCAAATGATTCATTCTAAATAACTCTGGTTGCCTGTGAAGTATGGTGACAGTTGATAGCAACAGGCTCTGGAAGGCAGGTTCTACACTGTATAAACTGGCATCTTTTGTGCTTGAATTTGCTCCAAAGAGCGCAGCTCCACTGACTGAGAGATATGGACCATCCTTTCCTTGAAACAGAAATGGGGGTCATTTTGTAGAAATCATGTAAGATTTTATATAAACTTTTGTTTGGGTGTCTATACCGTAACAGGATGGATCTTTCGGCAGCACATTCCCAAATGTGTATTAAATTGGGAAAGGGTGCAGGATTCTTTCATGTAGCAAACCTGAAGGCCCTTGTGTTCATGCTTAAACCTTCACTGAATTGTTCGATGTCCCTTATGACAGCACTCAGGAATCTCCTTATTCCCTCTTTGCCCTGTGTTGTTTCTATGTTAAGATAGTGTTTTACAAAGAACAGATGCTTGGAGGAAAGGAACAAGATTCTGTGTTTTGTTATTTAAGGAAAATAGTAGTTCAACCTTTTGTTTGCAAAAATCTCCTTCTAGGACTTTTTTGTATCTTGGACTCTAAATCAACTTTTAAACATGAAAGGCGCAAAATGAGATCCTAAATAGCGTAACTATTAATAGTTGTTTAACTTCTGGTTTGTTATAAGTTGTATCTCTCTTTAGGTGAGAAAAAGGAAAGACGCTTTTAGTAGGCTTATCATGTGTGTTTGTATGTAAGTAAATAGAAACCCGATATGAATTGGGAAGTACAGTTCCTAGCCTAGCTTACCAGAGCTTCACAGCACTTCTAACCTTGCATGCCATTATACTGTCTTCTCATGGAGAAGAGTGTCTCCACACAAGTTGCACAGGTGTACAGAGATTAAACATTTAGCGTTTCTGGTTTTGAGTCAGTATAGTCACTTCAGTATCTGAGAGATCTTCCAAGATTAGGGTGGTTGTTTGAATGGTAGATGCCATGCGTATCACGAACGACACTGACATATGTTAGACCTCCAAAATATCTGGGGTTTCATGGCAACTCAAAATAAGAAACATGCGACTTCTTCAAGGTCTTCTCTAAATATGCACATCGTAGTAACGTAGATTGGAAAAAAAGATACCTCTCAAGGATAAATACGAATGTAAAATATTATACATTAAAATGAGAAATGAAATGTCCATTTCAGTCTATATAAGTACTCCTTTGCCTTTTGGGGTTGTTTTTAGCTTTATACTAATAAAAATACAACTTTTGTGCACCAGAGACAGCCTGTATTAGACAACATCTGAATTTTCACTTCAGGAAAATAAAGTTACCATTAGTATGGGAGGCTGATATAGCTTAGATGGAATCCAATTCTCAAACAAAATGACAATCAAGTAAAGTTAAATAAATATGCCAGAGACGGGCACTTACTTTTAAATGTGTATTTTGTAATGTGTACTTTACCCTCTTGCAGGAACATAAATAGGCAGTAAGAAGAGTGCAACTGATCACAGAGCACAGGATGGGCATCTATTTTCTTCTGTTAATTGTAGGGTTTTGCGGGGCACAGTACAACCCCAATACTCTCTCTGGGAGGACGTCTATTGTACATCTCTTTGAATGGCGCTGGGCAGATATTGCTCTTGAGTGTGAACGCTATTTAGCTCCTAATGGATTTGGAGGAGTTCAGGTACGTCTGTTCTTATCAGTGGGTTGTAAAATTGCTACGTGGATGATAATTTGTTTTTCAGAGGAATATGTTCAATTCACCAAAGGACAGGTACTGAGAAAGAAAAATAGAAATTGGAAATGGAAGTAGTAAATGCTGACAAATATATTCTTCAGCCATCATCGTGTAAGCATGAATTTATTTCATTGCTCCAAAGTGCATGTTTTGCACTCTGTGCTATTACATTTAGATGAATTAGAATTGCGTATCTCTGGCTAAATCTTTTTTTACTGCTGTGAAGAGTAACCTGTATTTATCTGTTTGATATTACTTAAATCAAAGGAAGCTCTTAAGAGCTAGATAAACATAAAATGAAACTATGACTGAGAAAAAGGGCTCCCAAAGAGAATGCCAAGGTGCTGAAGGTTTTAAATAAAGTATAACAGGCTGCTAATTGTGTTCACCCAAACTGGCAGGTTTCTCTCTGTAAAGCCTAGTGTCAGAGTGAGCCATTAAGAGACCCTTCTTTGCCGGAACCTGGTGTGAGCAGGCAGAAATGAACTGAACGCAGGTTCTGGTGGAGGTGTGTTGATGTGAATCTGTTCAGACCGAACAACAGACATGTTCCTGTGGAGCCAGTAGTGTCAGACGGCTGGGGTTAGTACTGCTGGAGAGCAACCACCTATTAAACTATTCCAGTTTGCTCAGATTGCTCAGGAAAAACTGGTGCAAGAAGTCTGCCCGTCTCTTGTAGCCCAGGAGTTTGGAAGTTTGACCTGAGTGAGAACTTTCCCATAACTTTCAAATAATATGTCTTTTCTTTGCAACCGTCTTTCTAGGCACACAAGCCTGATTGATTTTTAAGCTGATTTCTCAGACTGTGATATACACTTGGATATGTTTTTAATCCATCCTGTGACAAGGTCTCGGAAAGGAAGTTTTTTCAGATGCAGATTTGCTGAGCTGGTCACAAAGGTGCAGCAGCTAAGTAGGCTGCAGCCTAGGGATCTTTGTGAGAAATGGTGGAACAGGTGGTTATGCCCAGAGACTTGGAGGCAGCAGCAAAAGCTTGTTGCCTGAAATGTATCCTGGCAAGAGTCTATAAAAAGAAGTGATACAGCTTATCTGGAAACTGTGACAAGTCTCGTGTCAAGAGCGCTTTTATCCAAAACATTACAAAACTGAGAAGTCAAATCAATTTTGAGGGCAGGATGTTATATCAGTTGTTCTGCAGTCAGTTCCTTCCTCATTCAGGGCTCTCTCTCCTGGCCTAGTCCTTCAGATTTCAGACCCTTCTTTTGATCTGAGGCCTGCATTCACAAAGATAAGTAGGACACTAGGTCCATGAACCTCAGTTTTACAGTATGTTTCTGCCTGCTGAAGGTCCAGGCCTAAGTCTTGTATTTCTAGCCCACTACAGTGTAAGGATACTAAAAATCTACATGGGTTAGGTATTGTGAGTGTCTTCCATTAAAGGGATCTGATTTTCTATGTTTGTGTTCTTTCTCTAACAGTACTGGACAAACAAATAAACCATTATCAGTATCCTTTTACCATGAAACACCATCTTATTTACAGATTTCGCCTCCAAATGAAAATGTTATCATTACTGACCCCTGGAAACCATGGTGGGAAAGATACCAGCCCATCAGCTACAAACTGTGCACGCGATCTGGAAATGAAACTGAATTTACAGACATGGTGACCAGGTGCAACAATGTTGGAGTAAGTGCTTTGAAAAGCTTCTGGTGTTAACAATGCAAGGATATGGACAACCAGTAATTTAGAAGGGAATACATGGTAGCACTGGAATGAAGATGGTTTGTTTTTCATTTTTCCATAGAATCATAGAATAGTTGTCATTGGAAGGGACCTTTAAAGGTCATCTGGTCGAATCCCCAGTGTGCAGGAACATCTACTCGACCAGGTTGCTCAGAGCCCCGTCCAACCTGACTTTGAATGTTTCCAGGGAGGGGGCATCCACAACTTCTCTGGGCAACCTGTTCCAGTGCCTCACCACCCTCACAGTGAAAAATTTTTCTAATGTCTAAACTAAATCTTCCCTCTTTCAGTTTAAAGCCATTGCCCCTTGTCCTATCGCTTCATGCCCTTGTAAGAAGTCCCTCCCCAGCTTTCTTGTAGGCCCCTTTAGGTACTGGGAGGCTGCTGTAAGGTCTTCTTGGAGCCTTCTCTTCTCCAGGCTGAACAACCCCAACTCTCTCAGCCTGTCCTCACAGGAGAGATGCTCCAGCCCTCTGATCATCTTCGTGGCTTCCTCTGGACTTGCTCAGACAAGTCCATGTCCTTCTTGCATTGGGGGCCCCAGAGCTGAAGGCAGTACTGCAGCAGACGTCTCACCAGAGCGGAGCAGAGGGCCAGAATCACCTCCCTTGACCTGCTGATTATGCTGCTTTTGATGCAGCCCAGGGTACAGTTGGCCTTCTGCGCTGTGCATGTGTGTTGCTTGCTCATGTCCAGCTTTTCATCCACCAGTACCCTCAAGGCCTTCTCTGCAGGGCTGCTCTCAACCCCTTTGTCTCTCAGCCTGTACTGATACTGAGGGTTGCCCCAACCCAGGGCAAGACCTTGCAGCTGACCTTGTAGAACCTCATGAGGTTCACATGGGCCCACTTCTCGAGCTTGTCCAGGTCCCTCTGGATGGCATCCCATCCCACAGGCACATCAACCGCATCACTCAGCTTAGTATCATCTGCAAACTTGCTGAAGGCGCACTTGATCCCACTGTCTGTGTCACTGAAGATCTTAAACAGTACTGGTCCCAATACAGACCCCTGAGGGACAGCACTTGTCACCAATCTTCATCTGAACTTTGAGCTGTTGACCACTACCTTCTGAATGCAACCGTCCAACCAACTCGTCATCCACTGAACAGTCTACCCATCAAATCCCAATCTCCAATTTAGAGAGAAGGATGTTGTGTCAAAGACCTTACAGAAGTCCAGATAGATGACATCCATAGCTCTTCCTTTGACTACTGATGTAGTCACTCCATCATAGAAGGCCACTAGGTTCGTCAGGCAGGACTTGCCCTTGGTGAAGCCGTGCTGGCTGTCTTGAATCACCTCCCTATCCTTCATGTGCCTTAGCTTAGCTTCTAGTAGGATCTGTTCTATGATCTTCCCAGGCACAGAGGTGCGACTGACAGGTTGGTAGTTCCCAGGGTCTTCCTGTCTACCCTTTTTAAAAATGGGTGCAATGGTGTCTGCCTGTCTGTTGATGCATGTTGTATCACCGTTGCTATATGTTAATAAAAGAGAAATATTTTAAATAAAACGTTGGGGCAAGCAAGCAAGCAGAAATAGGGGGATAGGGCAGGAGGTGAGAGAGAGAGATTGTTAACTAGTGGTGCCATGGGAAGTAGCTTTCTCAAATTGAAATGTGAATACTGCTCTCTAGGTACACATTTATGTGGATGCAGTAATCAACCATATGTGTGGAGCCAATGCTGGTGCTGGTGACCATGCTACTTGTGGAAGCTATTTCAATGCAAAAGCTGAAGATTTTCCAGCTGTGCCATATTCTGACTGGGACTTTAATGATGGTAAATGTAAATCTAGAAGTGGAGACATTGAGAATTATCATGATATATCTCAGGTAAACCTAGAACTATAAATATATTTTTCACATACATCTTTCCTGGGCTGGGGTTTCTTTGCTCCCCTTTACTGTCAGATGTTTTTAAAGAACAAAACAAAAACCCTCATGGAAAAAACATCCAAATTGACAATAGAGCTTAGTGTTGCTATCAGGAACGCTACTTCTTAAAGGGATAGCTGTACTTGAGCCAGTGGTCCAATTTCAAATTTAGATAAATGTGCTTAGGTACTTTATAAAGACAGTTTTAAAGCTCATAAAATCTATTTAGGGATTATCTTATGTGGGGGTTTTGTGTTTAAAAACAAAGTAGGAGTTATTATTTACCTTTAATTGTAATTTGGAAGTTTTCTTTGGTCTCAGTTTCAGAAGAGAGAGATTAGGATTTCATAAAGAAAAATAGTGATGCTGAAATCTTTAAAATCAACCTTCTGTTTATAGATTTCCTGGGAGTCTATCTGTTCCTCTATATCACATTATGTGGTCAGGACTTCAAAATTACTACAGAATGAAAAATTATCTTATAAAGATAAATATCTATCTTTCTTGAATAATGTCTTATGCCTTTCAAATACATTTGATCTTTCCTGAATCTAAGTTGAGGGGACAGGGGTTTTGGAGAAATGGCAGTAGAGAGGGAGACTTTAAATGTCCCTGACTTCTTGAGCAGTTCTGAAGGAGCATCTTTATGGCCAATTCTTTAGTACAGTTTGCAACGTAGGCTGATGCACCTTGCTCTCTCTAGGTCTAGGCAGATGTGCATAGCCATTGAAACCCATTGTAAGACTTATTAAAAAAAAAAAAAAGATTCATTATATTCAGTGTAGATTTAAAGAATTCTTTGAATGAAAATCAATGCCCATCGTCTTGTATTCACAGGAAACAAAGGTAAAAAGGGGACAGAAAACAAGTTTAATGTTTCATAAAGCTATAATAACTCAAGATTTTAAAAATATTTAGAAATATCATTTCTAGAAATCTTTCATACATCAGAGAAGAAATGAGTGCACTTGAGATAGTAATGAATCTGTTCCTTAATACATTGGAGTAAAAATAATTTATCAGATTTTTGTCCTATACTTGCATTAAAAAGTTGATTATAGATTTAATGGTTTGACTCTCTGTTATAATCAACTACAGCAGTGTAAACTGGGTGAATGCAGACTTCTTAATGCTCGTTCTCTATGCATGACTGTCCAAGATAACTGTCCAAGGCTAAGATATGCATAGTGAACAATGGCTAGTGAAGGTTTTTTTTGGCATTATAATGTAGGTAACAAAATTCAAAATGTATGTAGAACACTACATTTGGCTTATTAGGTGAAAAGTGTTTCATTTCACAATTCTTATATAGGTCCGAGACTGCCGCTTGGTTAGCCTTCTTGATCTGGCCCTGGAGAAGGATTACGTACGCTCAAAAGTTGCTGAGTACATGGACTACCTCATTGATATTGGTGTAGCAGGCTTCCGAATTGATGCTGCCAAGCATATGTGGCCTGAGGATGTGAAGGCAATTTTAGACAAGCTGAAAGATCTAAATACTAAATGGTTTTCTGCAGGAACAAAACCTTTCATTTACCAGGAGGTAATATATGTTGTTTTTTTTTTTCTAATTGTACTTTACAAGCATATTTTTTGCAGGCATATTCCTATACTGAAAGTGATGCTTTGCTTGAGCTGGGCCCGAGCAGCTTTCAGGCTTGAGATATATAGAAATCATTATCGAGGCTTAATAAGCATAATTTACACATATCTAATCTGCCCACAAATGGTAATTAACATGCAAAATGCCCCAGTTGTTTTGGACCTTCTGGAACAAGGTAACCTGGAAATTTTATTTGAGATTAAATTTACTGCATGAAAGTTAGTGTAAAAATTCTATTGATTTAAAAAAAGAGATTTCACTCCCTGAACTTTAAATTCTGGATAATAAATGGCAACAGAAGATGTAAATGGTGCTTACAATCTGAAACTTTGTTTTCCAGTGGCATAACCAGTGTTACTTGACATTCTGAATTTGTGTTTTACATTTGAATAACAACTCCTAACAAGACATAAGAAGGAGGTAATTGCTGGTTTAAGTCAGCAGAAGCTAAAGTTGCTAGACACATTTTATTAAAACAGTATGTTACCGGCAAGGTCTAGGGCAAATAGTGAAACATTCTTTAGCTACATAGTGAAATGAGGTTGCCCATGTGCTGGAAGCAGAGGCATTTGTGACTAGACTATATATAAAGTTGGTACAGCCCAAGCCTTAATTATGCAGTAGTGATCAGTCCGGGTAAGGACATTTAGAATGGAGACGGAAAAGAAATTCACTAATAGGCTGAGATAAAATGAAGAAAATAGCTTTAAATACAATTTTACAAGTAAGCCAAATAATATACTTCGCTCAAGTCGTGCCTCTTCCTTAGAACAATGTATAAGGCTATGCCTTTTACGTGTTTGGATTTTTAAGTAGATAGGAATGCTCACTCTTTATATGCAGTTTCTCCTTCGTCTGCCAGGTAATTGACTTGGGCGGAGAGCCAATCAAAGGCAGTGACTACTTTGGAAACGGCCGAGTGACAGAATTCAAGTACGGTGCAAAACTGGGGACAGTGATCCGCAAGTGGAACGGAGAAAAGATGGCCTACTTAAAGTAAGGATGAAGATGCTGTGACTTATGTGGGGGTATGTTGGATACACCAGTTGACAGGGTAGCTTCAAGTCTTTGTGTTTTTTGCTAGGAACTGGGGAGAAGGCTGGGGCTTTGTGCCTTCCGACAGAGCTCTGGTCTTTGTGGATAATCACGACAACCAACGGGGGCATGGGGCCGGCGGAGCTTCCATTCTGACCTTCTGGGACCC